AAGAAAGAAAGAAAGAAAGAAAGAAAGAAAGAAAGAAAGAAAGAAAGAAAGAAAGAAAGAAAGAAAGAAAGGAAGGAAGGAAGGAAGGAAGGAAGGAAGGAAGGAAGGAAGAAGAAGAAAGAAAGAAAGAAAGAAAGAAAGAAAGAAAGAAAGAAAGAAAGAAAGAAAGAAAGAAAGAAAGAAAGAAAATGAACCTTTGGCCTACACTTTAACATCTCTCTACTGTGTGTACATATGAAGAGGAGGATATTAACTATATGAACTAGAATGAACATGATATAGAGTGATAAGTGTTAAAATAAAGGTGCACACTTAGAAGGATTCATAGCACTAAACACTGATTGCACAGGTATATGAGGAGAGGTTTTCACAGTGGTTTACATGAGAAAAGCCTTGTGGATTTATTTGATCACAAGTTCAACACCATCCAACAATGTGGTGTAATTGCAAAAGAAATTAATAAAATCTTTGTTTCAAAATAGAAATACATTTTTCTCAGTATCTGGGGGATCCTTTAGAAACTAAACTATTCAAAAAAAGAACATGATATTCAATTTTGAAGGGGGAATTTGAAGAAACTGTAGTACATGCAGTTAGGTAAACCAAGGTAGCGTGAAGTGCGTTAACTGTGGAAAAAGAATGGATCTATTTGAGAAAACTATAGTGATCATTATATGAGGAAAAAATGTTCTATTTCTTCATAAAAGAGGCTTAAGAATAATAGAAAAAAATAAATATAAATATTTGGATTATATTAGAACTAATTTTTCTTAGGGCATTTGACTATATAGTAAGTGTCCCATCCCATGAAGTTTCTGAGAAAACATGTACCCTTGATGGATTCACTAGAGTAATTTCTAAACTTGGTGGAATATTTTCTTCCCTGGCCTCTAAATTTCTTACAAATATATTTTTATTCTAAAAGAAAAGGGTCACTTTGGGATTAGTCCACAATTGTGGTTGAAATACTGTTTCAGGGCAAGTAAAATACTGATTATTTTGGTAAGCAAGAGGCTGAGTTTGGACAAAAATAAGGTTTGCTAATAAGAAATCTAACACATGTTAACCTTCTCAAGATTCAGTAAAGCTGAGACCACCATTTACAGGCCAGAGCACTGAAATGTTTTTAAAACTTCCTTGTCACCTGGGACCCAGGTATTTCCAATGCCACTTTCAATATTATATGGAATGAAAAGCTTTGTGTTCACATTTTGTGGCAGAGACTGGCTAGCCATTCAGGGTACTTTTTCTTTTTCCTGGTCACACAGCTAATCTATATTGCCAACCAGTCCGGCAGTTAAGTGTTGCCAAGTTCTAGACCATGGGATGCAGGCAGAAATATGGTATGATGCACTCAGGCCCAACGCAGCAAAATCGCTCACAAATGATCTTCCATATTCACTCCAATACCATTAACTGGGTGGTTATTACCACAGTTATTCTGGCTTCATGTGCCACAGATATCAGAGCCATCGGATGGCAGAGGCTTAGGTATCTGAATTAGCACTTGGAGGAGAACCACATTCTGATGGAAAATGCCCATTTTATAATTTTCATGAATTTGAAAAAGGTTTCTGTCATAACTGAGCCACTATAAATATTTGACCGTGTTAACAGCATTCCATATCATGTTAAGGGATGCAGACATGTGTTGTGTCATCTCCATCCCTAAATTTTTGGCTGGCTTTAATTTGATGGTGGAGCTCCTTAAATACCTATTCATGTATGATTCACATACTCACAAAAACACATTAAAAGCAGGAGCCTTGTCTGTTTTGTTCATTACTCTCTAAACAGTCCACAGAACAGGCTCTGTAATACCGTTGGTGTGTATAAATGTTTTTCTAATTGAATAGTAAATAATGGTAATTCTGGCCAAAGAATTTAGTGGAAAAGTCTTAACAAGTATTTGTTTTACGTACATTGTAAGTCAACTATTAGGTGTGATCTATATATAAATCCGACATGTCCAACTTCCTCATAAAGTATAAAGTCTTATGAGGGGAAAGGATGCATTTAGTTTTTTAAAAATTACAAGAAAAATGTAGTAAGCGTTATGGCTGGAGAATTATGCAACACTGCAGAATGGGGGTTCTGAAGTCTAGTAGTAAAGGCAGAAATGGAGAGACAGATACAAATTTGAGATAATGAAGTGTGGCACGCAAATGGTTAGTCAGGATTTGAATACAGATTCGGAATTTGTTAATATAAACATGATAATGAGGCTGGAGGAACAGCATCTGCTAAGCAGAATAGATTAAAAGGAGAAAAAGGTACAGAATCACTCCATGAGAATTATCCATAGCCCCTCAGCCTGGATCCATCCCATTACTCTGTCGTTGAGGTCAAGGAAGGTAGGGTTCAAAGAATGATATTGCTTTGAAAATACCATTACCTGGGAAAGAACTAACCACTGGTTGAGGTCTTGGTGGAGTAGGAACGTTTCCAGAATGGGAATCTGAGGAAAGATGAAAGACATTGAAATAGTCACTTACAACCTCTGAGCATGCTTACCCCGATGTGCTGGACACTCTCTGCGGAAGATACTTTCCATGGGCCTGGATGCTGTTCACGATGTGACTTTCCCGAGCCACACTCATCGCTGGCAAACAAAAGCCTCCGCACGTGAACAGTCGGACTTGTAACACCAGAGGCGGAACGGAAGCGTCTGCAAGTGCCTCCCTTGATTTCGACTTTCGACGATGAAAATAGCATTAAAACAGCTTCCGCTCTATAGCCACGCCTGTTTCAAGGCGGCTCCTGAGGTGACTGCCACCGTCTGACAGATGGGCACGCAGAGTGACGCGGTCCAGCTCGGAGCTTGCCTGGACCTCAGAGGAAACTAAGGAGAGGTATCTCTGCTGGGACCCTTAGCCATGCCGAGACTTTTCACAGCAGAAAATGAGGTGCGGGGACCCATTACCTGCCCCCAACCAGTGCTAAGTAAGTTTCCTGCTCAAAATCTGCATATACTAACTAATATACATAAAAAGATAAACAACAGGTTTATACTGTACAGCGCAGGGAACCATATTCAATATCTTGTATTAACTTACAGTGAAAGTGAATATGAAAACGAATATATGTATGTTCCTATATGACTGAAGCAGTGTGCTGCATGCCAGAAATTGACACAATGTTGTAAACAGACTATAACAATCAAAATACATATATGGAATATATAAATGTATATATAGAATCAGAAAATACATATATAGAATCAAAATATATATATATAGAATAAATAAATCAAAATATATCTAGAATAAAATCAAAAAATACAGAAAAAAACATATAAGCAAAATATATAGAGAATATATAGACAGTAAATCAAAAATATATATCAAATATATATAGAATAAGTCAGATCAAAAAATATATAGAATAAAATATATAGAGTATATATATATAATCAAAATATATATCTATATATAGCAACATATTTATCAGAAATATATAATATTAATCAAAAATATATAGAATGAAATAAAAAAAGAACAAGGTATATCTATACATATAGAATCAAAATATACAGATAGAATAAATCAAAAAATATCTATAGAAAAAACTACATATAATAGAACAGGAAAGTGACAGAGCCAGGCTGTGAACATGAATGTCTTGGCTGTCAGTGCCGGTCGGTCCATCACTAAGCCACTCTGCCAGCCCACAGAAGGCTCCATGCAACTCTGCATGTGAGGGGAGCCCCAGCCACCATCTCTGATCGGCATTTGCCCTACTCACTCAAACCTATTAGTATTTTCTCTGGGGTATTAGTATGTCCATTACGATTGCTAATCCCAAGGACAAGAATTGAACTTAAATGGAGTGAAGGTTTTATAAGGATCTCAGTGTAGCAACACCCACCTGAGAAGCTTATTCCAGAAACCTTAAGGACTGTCATGAGCCAGCAAATGAAAACTACTCCGAGCCTTTACCTCATAGCACCTGTTGAGCACTGAATTTCTACTCTGGGTGTTCCACTCTCACTGAAATATATTTTTATTCCTTCTGGAGAGCAAAATTTTAGAGGATGTTGCACAAAATATTGCATGATAGACCTTAAATCTTTGTATCTGCTTACTACATACATTCTTAGCAATTTCTAGACTCTAACTAACTAACTAACTAACTA